CATTTTCACAAATCCCAGCCACTCTTTGTTTCTGGAGGTTCAGTATTTCACTCTTTGAACTTCATAGTTTTATGTTCTTTTTAATAATTTGCTGTATTTTAGTCTCGGGATCTTGGGTTGATATCGGGTTTTACGTGAGGGCATTGAATTTTCTCGAATTGTTGGAACTAGTGAAATTTGGGATATGGGTGGGTTGGTACAAGTATATATGCGCCATTTTTTAGCAGCTGGTGGATTCAGTTCACGTTCTTATAATCTGATTCATTTAACGATATGAACTGCTAGTTTTTGGTTATAAGATAATTATTCTAATCACAATTGGCGAATTTGCCCGATTGACACATCTGGGCTTATTGGATCCTTAGCAAGAAATTCATGTGATGATTGGTCGCTGGGGTTGATATAAGTATATGCGCATCAATGTTTAGTAATTGGTGATTGCAAGTCACAGTTTTTATAATCGATTCATTTAATAATGTTCATCACTGGGATTTGGTTTTTGATATCACTTGTTTGTTATTTTTTAATTGAATTATGATCCTTGAATTCGTGGATTGTTTCATTCCATTAGTGAGATTTAGGTTTAAAAGTGTGATTTTTAGGGGCATAGCTTACTATGTGCTTGTTTCAATGCTTAGGTGATGTTGAAAGTTTGCTTTGCAAATTGTTGAAATTTCATTTTGAAAATGGGGTTTTATATTTATTGGGTGCCTTTTTTTCTGAATTAGAAAATATGCTGACTGATGAATGTATGGTGTGACATTTGCTAATGGGATGTGTAATTGGGCAATTTATTTTTGAGTCATGAGAAATTTCAAAACTTGTTTACATGAGAAACATTAGGATTTCCAGACTTGTGTAATTCTTGTTTTCATATTTTTGTAATAAACATTAGGAAATTAATTTTATGCTTGTATTGTCTTAATGAACGTTAGACAAAGTTTGATTTTTTGTTTCTTTGTTTCTTAATAATTCCTTGGGAGCTGAACTGATTCTATTGTAACATACTCTCTCTTCCTTCGAAGATTTCAAAGAATGACAAATTAGTTATCAATGTTTTTATCTAAAAGTTGTTTACTTATTTTCGTACTAAGTAAATAATGGTTGCATAATAACTTGGATAGATACATCTTTTCTAGTTTATACCAATGCTTGTCTTTGCAGGAGATGATTATAAGATCAAGGTTTGGAATTACAAGCTGCACAGGTGTTTGTTTACGCTTCTTGGACATCTTGATTATATCCGAACCGTTCAATTTCACCATGAGTACCCCTGGATCATTAGTGCAAGTGACGATCAAACAATCCGGATATGGAATTGGCAATCCCGCACTTGCATTTCTGTCTTAACGGGACACAACCATTATGTGATGTGTGCCTTATTTCATCCCAAAGAAGACTTGGTTGTTTCAGCATCTTTGGATCAAACTATTCGAGTTTGGGACATTGGAGCATTGAGGAAGAAAACTGTTTCTCCAGCTGATGACATCCTGCGATTGAGTCAGATGAACTCTGATTTCTTTGGTGGTGTAGATGCTGTTGTGAAGTATGTCTTGGAAGGCCATGATCGCGGGGTTAACTGGGCTTCATTCCATCCCACACTCCCTTTGATTGTCTCTGGAGCAGATGATCGTCAAGTGAAAATTTGGCGCATGAATGGTACACGCGGCTTAATCTTT